GAGCGCCCTGGGTATTCTGCTTGGCCTCCGCGCAGGCCTCTGGAGGCGCCTGAGGGCTTCTGGGGGCCTCTGGGGGGGCCTCGTCGAGACCACCCCTGAGATCCAACATTGCCACAAACTTGCAACATCGCCAACAAAAAATCACGACGAGAGCCCCGGAGACCCCATCTTTCTGCGCCATTTCTTGTGAGCCGGATATGGAGCTGTGAGGGCCTCGGGGCTCGCAGCCCAGACCCCCGACGCCACGATTTTTTCATAGCGTCGATCCCCAGAGTTCTCGTCCTCCTCCTCCTCCTCCTCCTCCTCCTCTTCCCTCCTCCTCCTCCTCCTCCTCGTCCTCCTCCTCCTCCTCCTCCCATTCCCCAGGACCGGCTTCTCGTCCCGAGCCGTTTCTTGGGCGGTCCAGAGGCCGGGCGAGGGCCCTGCCTTCAGGGGCCGAACATTGCAGAAAGCCTTCCGTCGTGATTTCTGTCACTGCCCGAAAGGGGGGGGGGGGGGGGCCCTTCTGGCAAAACCGCAGCGCCCCGGGGGGGGGGCGCCCTTCGTGATTCTTAGGCTTACGCCACACCGCCGACCCCTTGTTTATGCCAATCGTGGGGTAGTAGAAGCTGCGAAGGGGTGAAAAGGCGAGTGATATTTGTTTGGTGTCTGTTCGCCGCCACCGCCAGAGGGTCTCGGGCAGTTCCGCGGGGGGGTCCGAGCGGACGGCGACACCGCGGGCGGTCGTGGTCTCATCTGGGGCCATCTGAGAGGCATAATGGAGCCAGGTTGGGCTCGGGAATGTCTTCGAGCCGTTTCGGTAGCGGTCGGGAGTTTTTTGGGGGGACTGCCCAGGAGTCATGATGGGTCAATTTGGCCATGTGCGAGGCCATGACGTATTCTGGAGCCACGACACGATCGACGTGTGTGTGCGCGTGGGGTTGGAAGTTTACGTGACCGCGGGTACTGGGGCTATGGTTGGAGCGCGCCGTGGAGCCACGAAATGTATGAGGGACGTGCCCAATGTTGGCGGGGAACCGCGCGTATATTCGGGTTCTGGGGCTCTCGCGGCACGCCTCTCGGGGGCCTATGGCAGGCTGTTTGGAACCACTTGGGGGCCCAGGTGGAGGAAAAGGAGGAGGAGGAGAAGGGGGACACGGAGAAACGGCTCTGGGTTATGGGTTATGGGTGAGAGGCTTCTTGTATGTGTATCGGGATCTCGCGGATCGCTTCTCGGGGGCCTCTGGAAGCGAGTTTTGGAGCCACTTGGGGGCCGTTTCGGAGCCTCTGGGGTGCTTCTTGGGGGTTCCTTGGTGCCGTCTTGGAGCCCTCTTGGGCCGTCTTGGGGACCTCTTGGGCCGTGTTGGGGCCGTCTTGGGCCGTCTGGAGGCCGTCTTGGGGGCCTCTTGGGCCATCTTGGGGCTGTCTTTGGGGCCTCTTTGGCCGTCTTGGAGCGTCGGGAAGCCGAAAAGGCGGAAAAGCAAAAAACATAGAAAAACATTATGGAAAATCAACAATTTTAGACTCTTGGGGCCCTCTTGGGAGGCTTGTTTGGGACCTCGGGGGCCGTCTTGGAGACCTCTTGGCCCGTCTTGGGGCCATCTTGGGCGTCTTGGAGCGGTCGTTTGGCGTCTCGGGGCCTTCGTGGGCCGTCTTGGAGGCCTCTTGGGGGCTTCTTGGCCCGTCTTGAGGCCCTCTTGGGCCCGGAAAAGCTCCGTGAACCGCTCGTCCCGGCCGTGCTGCGCTCGTCCCGGACCCCCCCCCCCCCTCCAAATCGACCGGACCGGGCTCCCGGGGGAGGGGTTTGGGGAGGGGGAAGCATCTCACACGCCGATGATCCCCAAGGGGTCGGCGGATTTTTGTCACTGCCCCAGGGGGGGTGGGCGCCCGTTCTGGCAAAGCTGCAGCGCCAGGAGCTCCGCGGCCGCCGCGTCGTCGTCGGCTGCGCTGCTGGGCCCGCGCGGCCGCCGAGGGCGGGCCGCGGCGCGCGGGCCCGGCCTCGGCGGCTGCCCGCGGCGGGCTCGGTCCCCCCCCGCAGCGCTGGGGCCCCGCTGCTCGGCGGTCGGGCGCCCCTTCCCTGAAGTCGGGCACGTCCCTCCACAGGAGGAGTACTCAAACATCGTCCAAAAATAGTCTGGGGACGATTGTTCGATATATATATATATATATATCGATATAAATGTATATGTTTTTTTTGGGGGGGGGGGTGTTGTGACTACTTTTGATTTTTCGTCCCAAATCCGCCTGTAGGAGGACATGCCCGACCTAACCCTTCCCGTTCGGGAGCATAGCTATCGGGTTGGGAGGGCTCGCCAGGCCTCTTAGATCGGGTCCGAGTAGATGGGGTCGGAGGATCGCGCCGCAGCGCCGATGTGTCGGCGATGCGGCTCGATGTGGTGCCCGAGTTTCTCCACGCCGACGGCCCTGATGCATCGCCGACGTTGCCGGTGCATCGCTGATGCATCGGCGATGCACCGGCAGGCGGCCGGTGCATCGCCGCTGTTGGGAGAAGTGAGGATAT